CTCAGCCTGTAATCCCAGCACTTTGGGAGGCTGAGGTGAGTGGATTGCCTGAGCCTGCAGGTTCAAGACCCGCCTGGGCAACTTGGTGAGACCTTATCTTTACAATAAAATCAAAAATTAGCCGGGCGTGGTAGCGCGTGCCTGTAGTTCCAGCAACTTGGAAGGCTGACGCAGAAGGATCGCTGGACCCCAGCAGGTCGAGGCTGCGGTGGCCGGGAGCGGCCACTCCACTCCAGTCTGGGTGACAGAGTGAGACTCCAACTAAAAAAAAAAAAAAAAAAATTTTGTTAACTAAAAATATAACTTTTAGTCAGGCATAGTTGCTCACACCTGTAATCCCCACGGCTTTGGGGAGGCTGAGGTAGAAGGATTGCTTGAGGCCAGGAGTTTGAGCCCAGTCTGGACAACATAGCTAGACTTGTCTCTACGGAAAAAAAAAGAAGCCTGACATGTGATGCATGCCTGTAATCCTAGGTACTCAGGAACTCAAGGTGGGAGGATCACTTCAACCTAGGAGTTCAAGTTACAGTGAACTATGATGGAGCCACTGTGCTATAGCCGCAACAACAGGGTGAGACTGTGTCTCAAAAAAAACAAAGAAAGTACAGTAACAAATAGCAGACAATCTATTGAAATTTTTTGTTGCAAAATATTTTGAAAGTTTAATAAATAATTCTGTACATTAATAAATGTTAACAGGCATTTTTTTGTTGTTTTTTTTTTGAGTTGGAGTCTCACTCTGTCGCCCAGACTGGAGTGCAGTGGCTGCTCCCGGCCACCACAGCCTCGACCTGCTGGGCTCCGGCGATCCTTCCGCCTCAGCCTTCCAAGTAGCCGGAACTACAGGCATGCGCTACCACGCTCGGCTGATTTTTTTTGATTTATTGTAGAGATGAAGTCTCGCTGCCCAGGCGGGTCTTGAACCCGCGGGCTCAGGCAATCCACTCACCTCAGTCTCCCAAGGCACGGGATTACAGACTGAGCCACCGAGCCCAGCTGTTAACAGGCATTTTTTAAAAATTATGTTTTCATCTTAAATTCTTACCTCTAGCATACTAGGTCATTATTAAGCCTTTGCATTTGGATGTCCCCTCTAAGGGAATATTGTAAATCTAGCACTTGAATGAGTCCTCTCAGGGGACATAAAGAGATTGCTGGTGATTACACAGGACAAATTTTTGCAAGCGCAGATTTTTCAAAAATGTACATTTCCTTCAAGTTTTTCATTCAAAAACAATGAAAACCTATTTCCCATTTGAAATTTGTCAAGTTTCTGATTGATTAGTTGAGAAGTGGTTTTTAGGAATCACAAGTGCATCCTTCCACATTGTCTTTGAGCAACAGACTGGACAATAAATTACATATCAATGTGGGAGGAAGAAAACGAGACTGCATTGTCTGCTCAAATAGATAAACGTCAAATAACTATTGCACATGTGTCAATGAATCTGCAATGCATGTCAGTGACTGTTTCATACGTTCCCACATGTTAGAAAAATATAAGATATATGGGCTCAGCTGGGCTCGGTGACTCAGCCTGTAATCCCGCGCCTTTGGGAGGCTGAGGTGAGTGGATTGCCTGAGCCCGTGGGTTCGAGATCCGTCTGGGCAGCGAGACCTCATCTCTACAATAAATCAAAAAATCAGCCAGGCATGGTAGAGCATGCCTGTAGTTCCAGCTACTTGGAAGGCTGAGGTGGAAGGATCGCTGGAGCCCAGCAGGTCGAGGCTGCAGTGGCCGGGAGCGGCCACTGCACTCCAGTCTGGGCGACAGAGTGAGACTCCAACTCACAAAAAAAAAAAAAAAAAAAAAAAAAAGATATATGGGCTGGGTGCAATGGCTCATGCCTGAAATCCCAGTGATTTGGGAGGCCAAAGTGGAGGAATTGCTTAAGTCCAGGAGTTCAAGACCAACCTGGGCTATATAGCAAGACCCTATCTCTACAAATAAGTAAATAAATAAATGAATGGGCCGGGCTTGGTGGCTCAGCCTGTAATCCTGTGCCTTTGGGAGGCTGAGGTGAGTGGATTGCCTGAGCCCGCGGGTTCGAGACTCGCCTGGGCAGTGAGACCTCATCTCTACAATAAATCAAAAAATCAGCCGGGCGTGGTAGCGCGCGCCTGTAGTTCTGGCTACTGGGAAGGCTGAGGCGGAAGGATCGCCTGAGCCCAGCAGGTCGAGGCTGCGGTGGCTGGGAGCGGCCACTGCATTCCAGTCTGGGCAACAGAGAGAGATACCAACTCAAAAAAAAAAAAAAAAAATGAATTGAAAAAAATACTTAAAAAAAAAGAAAAATATAAGATATAAAATTAGACTGGGCGTGGTGGCTCATGCTTATAATCTCAGCATTTTGGGAGGCCAAGGCAAGAGGGATTGCCTGAGCCCACGAGTTTGAGATCAGCCTGGGTAATTTGGTGGGACCTCATCTCTACAATAAATAAGTTTTAAAAAATTAGCCAGGAATGGTGGTGCATGCCTGTAGTTCCAACTACTTGGAAGGCTTAGACTGAAGGATCACCTGAGCCCAGCAGGTCAAGGCTGCAGTGGCCATGAGTGTGCCACTGCACTCCAGTCCAGGTGACAGGGTGAGAGCTTCAACTGAAAAAAAAAAAGATACAAAAATTTTTTGTCATAAATAATTTCCTCAATGTCCAAAATTCCATTGTAAGCCAAATATCATTAAAATAATTGGTTCTAGTGCTATACTATTTAACATGAAGTGATTTATTTTCATTATTTTGAAAAACAGTGTGATTCAGTAGGTAGGTGATTTGTGAGATGTCTTCAAGTGCAAAGGGTTAATATTTCCTTAAGTTCCTGCATTTTTGCCATCCTAAAGTTTGTATTATTTGGAGTGACTTGGATCTCTAAATAGAGGTGAGTCTTATTATTATGGAATATTCTGTATGAGTTAGCTTCCTGGAGTTGCTTTGTAAGTAATTACAGAGAGGTTCCTGGTGGAAGTCCCAAAAGTCAAGGAGTAGGGATTAGGACAGATTTGCAGATCTGTGCAAGGGAAATTTCTGTGTCTGAGCATGAAAAATTGTTAAGCTCTTGACTTTGTGGACTTGAATTGTAATGTGACCCTGTAAAACCTCACTTAAAAATTTTTAATTCTAGCCGGGCGCTATGACTCATGTCTGTAATCCCAGCACTTTGGGAGCCCGAGGTGAGAGGATTGCCAGAGCCCACAGGTTCGAGACCTCGTCTCTATAATAAATAAAAAAATTAGCTGGGCGTGATGGTG